GACCAAGACGGATACAGCAAACAGCTCCGTCCTATACAACATCTTGTACTTACAGGCGCCGACGTTGACGCTTCATCATCCAAGATGGTTGCAGACTTGTTTGTCAGCATCAGAGGCGCATTGGCGTATGCATTAATCACCCAGGCGTGGCTGATAATAAATGTCGTCTCTCTACAACGTGCCCAAGAACCGACCGCCATACATGTGCGACGACTGAGCGCGACTACCAGGAAATTGCAGGCCTGTCTTAGGAAGGTCGTCTACCAAGCGATGACTCCTACGGCGGAAGTTGACCTGCGCAGCGACTCAGGTTATCGACGCCTGAGTCGAGATGCCGACGACGAAGCCGAAGGCCATGGTATCTGCGGGGCAAACCACCTACGGCGCGGAAGCACCCCATCTGGCAACCCCGTCGCTCACCGCTTGCAAGTCACCGCGAGCGCGTACTGCAAGTCTCACCGCTTGCAGGTCCGCTCGAGCTATTCAGCAGAGACACAAGCAGCAGCCCGCAACTTGGAGGACTGCTATCCCACGACCGTGATTCTGCACGAGTTTCTTGCAGGCCCGTTAACTCCCACTCTGTTCAAAGACATACTTGAGTTAGGTTTCCTGGGCATCAAGGTCACTTTGACCATAGATGCTGAACAAAAAATCCGTGTCAAGCAAAGACTTGCAGAAGCCGGCGGAATGTACCCTTTCAGGACACATCAGTTGGATACGACAGGTGATGGAGCGGGGGATCGTGCACAGTATTCAATGGTATGACACCCGCGACATGACCGAGGACGGTCACACAAAGGGGAGCATCGACAAAGAAATGCTCCTACAGGCCACTGGGGGTACGCAGTCCTTCAAACGTGACTTAAAGCGTCATATTCCTGATCGGGCTGGCCAGACATCTCGGTCTGCAGCCGCCTGAAGAGCACTCGTAGTCACAGTGCAGTGCAGGCGAGGCAACTTGCGCGCGGGACCACCTTCCTTACAGCCCCGTTTGTTTTGCTGCCCTTGTGTGCATAGTAGCTGCTGTACCTGCTGTATAGAGGCGGCAGACTCACGCTGTGTCTCCTTCCCCCCCGACTCTACAGTGAGCTGGGGATACAGGTGAGTGGGAACGAGCGTGTGCCCGCGGCCGCTTGGCGCAAAGCGTCCGGCCGCCCAGATCTGATTACAAGTCAGCGCGAGGTGTACTACTTGCCATCGGTACCAAAAGTGCTTGAGATGGCTCGCCTCCAACTACTGAGAGCGCCGCTACTACGGTACAGCAGAGCTGGAGCTCGGCTTCGCCTAAAGTGAAGCTGCTGGCTGGGCCTCCCAACCCTTTTCAAACGCCCCAAACAGCTCCAAGACGCCCCAAGAGGTCCTCAAGAAGGCCCCAAGACGGCCCAAGAGATCCTCTAGACGACCCTAGGGCCGCCCAGGACGTCCCAAGAAGGCCCCAAGACGGGCCCAAAAGAGGGAACGCACACTGAAAAATCAAGTTTCCCGTCCCAAGATGCCCCCAAGAGGCCCCGATAGGCCCCCAGGAAACCCCCAAGAGGCCCCGCGAGGCCCCCAAAGCTAGAAGGCTATGGAGCTGCAGGGCTACCGGGAACCTGGGAATCCGGGCACCTGGGCACCTGGGCGCCGGGGGCACCCGGGGCACCCGGGACACCCGGGCACCTGGGCACCCGGGCGTGCCACCGAGATCGGCGGCGCACGTAACCCAACCATGTAAATCCGCTAGGACCCCTACAGAGGCAAGCTCCGATTAGGGAAATAATAGGTTAAAGTTCAAAACGGATCACAAATAGTCGAACACGTCCACAGACGGCCAATTGAGCCAACGACCGATCCCCCGCCCAGCCCTCTTCCACTCCAAATCGGTTCCCGGACCCCCTGCCGTTGTCTTAGGCCGGGCATGTCCCCCCTACAGGCGGATGTTGGGATAATGATAAAACGTAGTACTACAGAATTCAAAAATGACCCATATGCCGGTTTTGAATTTACTATTTGCGATTGTTCCCCGTGTACACGGACAGGCCCCAGCCGAAATCCGGCCGCGGCGGCGAGCGGCCTGCCGGAGGCCCAGCAAAAATGGCCCCGCGGGGTGTGCCGTTGGTCTCGGCCGGCCCCCCGCCCGGACTAAGGAGTGGTGGCCTTACATCCTGCTCGAGAGCGGCAGCGGCCGCACCGACGTCCTCCTGGCCAACTACAAGTGGGAGAGGATCCCCCAGAGGGGGACAAGGTGTCCATACCCCTACCCCTCCCTCATTTTCCCCTCTTTGGGCCTCCTGGGAGGCTCTCGTCGCCACCGCTGGACTCGCCTCGAAGTCCTGCTCAGAACGCCTTCGGGAGAGGTCCGGGGAGTAGCGGTATCGGTACATGTTGGTCTCCCCAGATCCCCGGATGAGTAGGGCGACGAGATCTATGCATATCCATTGCTCCTGGCCAGGCCAATCCTGGGCCCAGGAGCGGTGTATACGCCCTCCTGGCCTGGCCAGGGAGGCATATACACAGCTCCTGGGCCCAGGATGGGCCTGGCCAGGAGCAGTGGATATGTATAGATCTCGTCGCCCTAATGAGGAGGACGGCTTGCCGACGCCGGTGCCCTTTGGGCAGCGGCGTCGGTGCGTCGTCCTCCGTCCCTCGGCGTCGCAGTCGTGGGACCTCCCTTTCGGAGGAGGGCCCGTCGCGCAGTCGCGGCAGCGGCGGCCCTCCTGGGCGTGTTTTCCGTTCTCTTGATGGGCCTGTTTTCCACCACCACCACCATCAGATGTCGGAGGGGGAGGGTGTCCTCCTTCTCCTCCTCCACTTCCTCCTCCTCCTCTTCGTCATCCTCCTCCTCGTCCTCCACCTCCTTCCCCCCTCCAACTTATGGTGGTGGTGGTGGAAAACAGGCCCATCATCTCTTGCTGGCCCTCATGGATGCTTCTCGTCGCCACGGCTGGCTCCCCTTCGAAAGCGGGTCAGGATGGACCCGGATTGAGTAGATTTGAGTTGGGCGCGGGAGTTGCCGTCGCCGTTGTCCCAGTTGGTCTTCGTCCGATCCTGGGGGGCCTGTCGCCCGCGCTGGATTCGTGCCCGGATCCTGGTCGGGACGCACCTCGGAAGAGTCCGAGGAGCATCGGTGCCGGTTCCCGTTCGGCTCTCCCCGGAGGATTCGTTTGTCCGGCAACCTTGTGAGCGTGCAGTGCATGCCCGCCGTGGACTCGACCTGGATGGCCCAGGTCAAGGAGAAGTTCTTCGTCTTCGCGGTTCACACGAGCGGCACGTACTTGGTCGGCTCTCCCAACGAGTTGCTTTTCCTCGTGTATCTCCACTTGATGGCTCGCGAGTTCGTGGAGGCCAACCTGCTTGTGGACTTCTGTTTTGTCCACGGCGTGCAGGATCAATGGCGGGGCGTACTTGCCGCTTGGATAAGGGAACTCAAGGACGATGCCTCCGCGAAGGTGCGCTACGCAGACTGGTGCGCGTTCAATATACAGCTGCCTGCGGCAAGTCCCGCCCAGCCCTGTGGGCAGCGACTAATCGAGGAACGCACAGGCAGTCGTAGCGTGTGCCATGCCAGCTCGTGTCCTGAGGCTTGGCAGGGCCGGAAGATGTGTGACTCGTTCGTGTCGTATCGGGGTGTCTCTCCTCGTGCTCCGCGTCGTCTTCCTCCCTTTTCGGGCGAAGAGAACCATACACATGCACCGATCCTGGCAAGGCCCGTCCTTGACCCAGGATCGGTGCATATACCTTCCTGGCTAAGGTAGCGGGCGTATGCACCGATCCTGGGCTCAGGATGGGCCTGGCCAGAATCGGTGTATGTGCATAGTTCTCTTTCCTCTACCTTTCTCGTATTCTTTCTTCTCCTCTTGGGAGCGCATTGGGGGCCTAACTAATGGGGGCTCATTTGGCCGTCGCAGGGCGCGATTGGGCAGGCTGGCGCCTTCGACGTCCATCTTGGGGGCCCCTCTAGCACTCGTGGGGCCCTCTTGGGGTTCTGAAGTGTCGTTTTGGGTGTCTCTTGGGCAGTCTCGGAGGCCTCTTGGACCACTTTGAGAGCCTCCCGGTCAGTCGTTGGGGTCCTCGTGTGGGCCTCTTGGGCCGTCTCGGGGCCATCTTGGATGACTCCTGATCCGTCTTGGATTGTCCGAAACCGGAAAAAAGGTGACACCGCGACAATATTTCAAACAGCTCACGGTATTGGATCATACGCGACCTACGTGTATATGTGTATATATACATGTGTATATATATATATATATATATATATGTGTGTGTGTGTGTACGTGTGTCTTAATGTATATACGTGAGTAAGTAAGTATGCTTGTATGTTTGCATTTCTGAATTATGTATGCATGTCGGTATATATATATATATATATATATATATATATGTGTACATGTATGAGGTTGACCTCTTCAGGCTTGATTGCGGGGTTCTCTTGGAGCCCTGCCCTGTTGGGCCGTCTTGGGGGCCCCTTAGGCCGTGATAGGTCTATCTTGGGCAGTCTTGGGGCGATCTCGGGCAGTCTTGGAGGCGTCTGGGGCCATCTTGGTGGCCTTGGCGGCCTGCCTGGGCAGACCTTGGACGTATCGGAGAGCGCCGGGTAGGCGTCGGGACGGCTAAGAATCTTGGGGAGGAGCGGGCCGTGTACGCCCCTGAGCGTGAAAGGGGGGAGCCTTCACAAGCTTACTACAACTCTGGCATGCAGCTCTGTGCTTTCTACAACGCCTCAACTTGCCAGGGGGCACGGTGGCGGATAAGGTACAACCTCGCCGGCGCGCTTGACCAGGAAAAGCACCAGGATTTGATGAACAATTTTGCCAACTACCTGTCGAACGCGGGTAAGGTCAGCCCAGAGTGCGTGGTTCCTGTCCGGCAAGAGCTTCAGTGGCTTTCCCAGTTCAAAGAGATGAGCAAGAGTTCAGGCAAGACTTTCCCACAGCGGTTCGAGCACCGCCAGCGCTTACTCTTGGCGCTCGAGTCGGGCGCCGAGTTCGAGGTCGACCTTGACAAGAACGAGCATTTCAAGGATGCCGGGAAGGCGATCAACGACTTGTTTGCCAAGAGCTCTGCTGTCCTCGAAGAGGCGCTCAGGCGTTTTCGCAGGAGTCGAACGGGAAAAATGTTGGCATAAACGGAGGTTTTCAGAGGTCCACGCAGAGTGTTGGGGTCGGCGCTGGCCTCCCTGCTGGCGCCTCCAGCGCCGCCCCTGGCGCGCTCCGCGCGCCAGGGAGTGGGGTCCAGCACCGATCCACGAACTCCACGCGGGCCTCCGAGAGGTTACAGCCGGACCGAGGTACAAGGTCGAGGTCGTTTCGGGGAGGGCATTCTGATGTTCTTCGTGCTTGCTGGCTGTTTTGTCGTGCATCCTGGGGAGGGTCCCCTTATAGGTTCTGTGTTTTTGGGCCGGCGGAGGGCCTTGTGCTCGTGGAGGCCGTTCTTCTGTCTTGGGCTTACGTCGGGCGTGTCCCTCTACAGGAGACATATTCAGACATCGTAAACAAAAGTCTGGGCACGATTCTGTTTCACCATGTCTGATCTTTTGGGGGGTCGTTCTGTTTTTTATTTTTCGTCCAAAATCCGCCTGTAGGAGGACATGCCCGGCCTAAATCTCAGGTCCGACCGTGCGTTTCTGCAGACGCTGCCCCCAGAAGGAGGCCGCCGTCCGCGGCGCCCAGCAGGCTGCGGGCGGAGAAGGCGTCTCCGGAGATGCAACCTCCTGGGAGGTCAAATTCGGATTATGCCCTGCTCTTGTGATGTTCCAACCTATTCTAATCAGCCTTGATCACCAGAAAGAATTTCGAGCACCGACAAATATCGAAACTCGGGGGTTTTCGCGCGTCGGGCCCTGGGAGACTCGTCCGACACTGTTTCGACACTGTTTCGACACTTTTCCAGGTGCTCTAAAAAATTGTTGGGATGTGGCCCTTAAGTACGATGGGAGCAACATAGCCCTGCTCACAAATCCGGCTCAATTGAGTATCGTTTGTCAGATTCCCATCCCCAGCGGCGTGGCCTGGGCCCCGCTGGCCGATTTTGCCCCCTAGATGAGGATACAGGCCGTCCCCTTCGGGTTTCGAGGGGTGTATCCCCAATTCGGGTGGTAACTTGGGGGGTCTCGAAGGGGATGAGGATGGGAAGGGTGTCGGATAAACGATACTGATCAATCCGGCTTTCATGCCCGAGTGATCCGATGTTCATCCCACTTCATCTGCGGCCGACTCCAGCGTAGCATCCCCCCAATGTGGCCTGATCCTCCTGAATCAGTCGAAGAAGGAAAATCAACATCCGCCGGGGGGGCCCAGCGCGAATCCAAGAGATCCGCGCGGAGCGGCAAAAGTTTATGTTGATGTGTTTTTTTTCCCTTCTACGACCGAATCATTCCGACGAGTACCTCCCAGCGGTTGCCTCCTAAGGTGTCGACGGGGGAGAGCCGGCCCGAGCAGGTCCGGGTCTCGTGGAGCCAGGCGCCAGCTCGAGAGGGGGAGGCCACGGTCGCCGGGGCGCAAGAGATCGGGGGCGCGCAAACATGGTTTTGCGATCCATTCGGGCCGGACGAAAAGGGGGGATAGGGAAAGGGGGGGTTACGAAATGTGCTGCATGCAGCTGGTTTCGGCCCAGCCGCTGGGCCCATTCCTCGATACAAGGGCGCCTCCCGGCGCTGGGAGGCGCCGCGAAAATCAGCTACGTGAGCTGATTCTCAACCCCCCTTTGCTATCCCCGCCTTTCGCCAGGCCCGATCAATGGATTTGGCGCGCGGTCGCCAAAACCATGGATCGGGGGAGGTGCCCTCCCCAAAATGCGGCCGGTGCCGCTTCGCTCGGCGGCGGAAATCCGCGACTTCCCATGGACACGGGACCCGCCGCCAATCCACGCCTTTTTGAGCCATGTTTGCGATCGCCTGAACAGAGACGGGGGGCCAAGGGAACCGGGGGTCAGTCAGAGCGCCGGATCGTGTAGGAGCTTGCAGATCAAGCAGGTGCGAAGCGTCTTGGCTCGCGTATAGGACTACCAAATAATGTTCTAAGAACCTGTAGTGGTCTTCGCGAGAGTTTCTTAGAACATGTCTTGCTGGGGATGTCTTGTTTTGACACATCTGGCTCATGTTCTAGGAACATTGTTTTTGTTATTCGAACACTGGTGGGTTCTAAGAATATTTCGTGGTAAACCTATAAGAATGCCGGGACGGTCGGTCCCTGCTCAAGCAGAGCCAGGGTCGCATGGACCCGGGCTTGGGTGCAGGATCCTTCGGTGGCCGATCATGGCAGCCTGGTGTACCCTCTTATCTCCGTCTTTAACGGCGATTGACGTCGATTAGAGTCTGGGAGTCGATGAGATAGCGTCGATTTAACGTCGGCTAGCGTTTGCTAGCGTCGACTTAGGTCCGAGCAGCGCCGATTGACGTCGATTCGCAAGAGCCGACAAGATGGTATGGGAGGCTCACAGGAGTTGCCGCCGCAGGATCCTGCAGGATTGCAGGATCCTGCAAAGCCTGACTTTTGTCCGGGTCCGGACCGGCCCGCTTCCGCAGAGTCCCGAGGTCGTCGGTTGGCGCGTCGTGGGCGAGGTGCAAGGGTCGGGGCTGGACAGGGCCTGGAGAAGCAAGGTGGAAAGGCAGGAGAAGCAGAGGAGCCCAGGGCGCCCCAAAGGGGTGAGGGGCCCGTGTCACGTGCAGGCCCGGTCGTTCCGACGCCCTTGAAGAAGGGCATGCCCTTGTGGCAGAAGGGCCGAAGCAACTTTGTTAGGAGGGTGATCCGTTTTTTTGATTCCATGTTTTGCCGATCGGCGCGCCCCCCCCCTTATGGGGTAGGTCTTGGCTGTTTGGGGCGCCTGTTTCGAGCGGGTGGATTCTCCCCCATGATGCACGCCCTGCTGCAAACAGTCGCATTAAGCAGAGGTCCGGAGCCTGACCCCCCCGCTCCCCCTTTTCCGCCCAATGTCGAAACGCCGAATCAAAAAAACGCTCACCACGCCCTTGTGGCAGAAGAGCCGAAACAACTTGTTCGTAGCAGTAGTGGCATTCGTAGTCGCAGTAGAAGTAATAACACCAGTTGTGGTCGCAGTAGTAGTATCACTACTGTTCGCAACATGTGGCTGGTAGCAGTAATGTCCCAAACTGGTTGACAAAATGATGACCCCCCCCTTTCCCCCCTGGATCCCGACTGACATTAGTTCGCATCCGAATCTATACTTGTGTACCTGTCCCCCTGGAAAAAATATGGATGCCGATCGACACCACTTGTATATACCTCGGTACCGAGGAGAGTACCGATGGGGATGTTCCCGTCTTCCGATCAGAGAATGCATTTTTGCATTGGGTTTTCGCCAGTGGGTTTTTAGGAATTCAACATGGCTCCCGTGGTATAAAATCTATTAGCGGTATGCCGCCGCCGCGCGCGCGCTGGCGATTGGCATTTGTGCATACAACGCCGTATATCCACATGCAGGTTTCCCCGTCTTCCGATCAGAAAATGAATTTTTACAATGGGTTTTCGCCATTGGGTTTTGGAGTTCAGCATGGATCCCATTGTATAGACATCTATCAGCGGCGTGCCTCCGCCGCGCGCGCTGGCGATTGGCATTTGTGCATTCGGTGTCGTATATCCACATGGGGATGTCCCTGTTTTCCGATGGGAGGACTTCCGAACCTTCTGAGGAGGCCTTGTCCTTCTCATTTCCCCCCTTGCTCGCCGCCGACTGTAAAGCAAGACCGCTTTAAGTGCAAACGATGTCTGGCGACCTGGCTGTAGGCGGGGGTGGACAGGGAACCCCGCCCTGACACGTCGATCCGAGAATTCTCCGTCTTCGGTTCTCGTGACGGCGCCGCGGCCGTCATCTTCCAGGCTTGCGCGCGCCAGGTTTGGGTTCGAGGTCGTTTTCATTAGACCACGTTTTACCGAAGGGGGTCCTGTCCATCCCCGATGTAGGAGCACGAGAGGGGGCCAAGATCTGGAGTCCCAAACCCGTTTTGACAGACCGCCGTGCGGTGACTTCGGAACCCTCAGAGACTTCACCGCACGGTCCGTTACCGCACGGCCATGGGACCCCGGAGGCCCCTGTCGCCCGAGACGTCCTCGGAGAGTGCCGCGAGTCCTAAAACCGTGCGGTGACCCCGAATCCCCGCCGACTCACCACGCGGTGTGGTCACCACCCCGCTTGGGGGCCCCCGACAAGACGGGAGGTTTCGACGGCGGGGGGAGGGGCAGCGGGGCCTCCACGGGCCACGGGTTTCGGGGGGCCCGGTTCCTCTTTTTGGGTGGGCCACGCGGGGCAGCCGATCTCGGAACCCCAGGTTCCTTCACCCAAGGTTAGAGGAAATTGCACCGGGACAAAAACCCAACCAGTGGATGCGAGAGTCAGGGGCTACGACAGGCGGGGGTAGGCATAAGGGGGGTATACATCGACCATGGGTCGCTCATTGATTGCCGGCAGGGGCCCGATAGCCCCAACCTGCACAGGAAGGTGCGGATTCACTATCGGGGGCATATCGCCGATCTATCGGCGACGTATCGCCGATTCCAGGTCGATGCATCCCCCCCTATGCCAGACCCCCCCCTACCGTTGCCCCTCGGAGAGAGAGAGAGAGAGAGAGAGAGATTGCACAACACGTGGAAGAAAGCACCAGACATATAGAGAGGCAGCGAGAGAGAGAGAGAGAGACAGAGAGAGGGGGCGCCCACCGACTGCCGCCGACCGAACTCGGCCGGCTGCTTTCTCGCCAATCTCCCCAGGGGGCGCCTGTACCGAAAGCCACCCACCGAGCGCCGCGCACCGAAGTCGGCCGGCCATTTCCGCCAAAATCTACCGTTTTGGACAGGACTCGCTGTCCGCGCCGCCGCGGACGCTGTTTGTGATCGGAGGTTGATAGACCGCCTACCCTGACACGTCGATTACGGAATGCGGCCGTCATTTTTGCGGGTCCAGGTCTGTCGGTTTCGGTTCTACGCAGTTTCCAGTAAGGGGAGGTTTACTAAAGGGAGGTTTGTCCACCGCCGATTTGAGTTCAAACAACCGCTTTCCCAACAGCGGCATGTGTCGGTGTTGGACAACACTCGTTGCTGGGCATTGTGTCCATTTTTCGCGTACCCACCTCGAGCGTCCAACCTTGAGATCCGACGTGGCAACAACAACATCGTACAACATCACGCCATTGTCCTGCGTCATTGTGCAAGTCGGATCGACCTGTGGAGGGCCCCAGGGCCCCGAAAAAAAAGCGTAAAAGCTTGGCTCTAACAATTCGAGCCACCAGGATCTCGGGGAGAGACCAGCTATCTGGGGATTCGATGTGTGGTTTCGTCTGCAACCTCCGGGAGACCCCACTGGGCCTCGGGGCAGGCAGATCTATTATAGACGTTTCGCGTAACCCCACCAGAGAGTTCCCGCTGGCAATTATCTCGCTTGTCGCCCCAAGCTCGCCACGACCCGCTCCCTGGGGTTTTCTTTGGAGCCGCAGATCAAAAAAAAGTAACCCCACCAGCAAGCCCGCTCTCTGGACGTCTCCTTGGAGCCGCGAACCAAAAAAGTATCCCCACCAGCCCATCCAGAGACGATGCCCAGAGGAGTTGGCTCGATCAGGGAAGTGGACAGCACGCAGAGGAAGGGTCCCTCTTGGAGCGCTCTTGGGACACTCTTGGGCGCTCGTGGGGCCGTTTTTAAGCTTTCTTGGGCCTCTCTTGCGTCTTGCGGGCCTCTTGGCGGTCCCCGGGGGCGTCTTTGATTGTCTTGGGTACCTCGGGGGTTCTTTCGAGGCCTCTTGGGGGTCTCTTGGGAGCCTCGGGGAGGCCCCTGGGAGCCGTCTGGGCGCCTCGTGGGGCCACCTTGGGGCGCTCTTGGGAGCGTTAGGGGCGATCTTCGGGCCATCCTGGAGGCCATCGATTAAACAGGAGGGGAGCTCCAATTGCCGCCCCCCCTCGGGAGCCCCAAACATCGCCTCTTGGGGCGCTCTTGGAGCGCTCTTGGGCGCTCTTGGGGCCGTCTTGGAGCTCTCTTGAGCCTCTTTTGGGGCCGTCTTGGGCCATCTTGGAGCCATCTCGAGGCCTCGGATGGCCATCGGAAGCGAAAAGGCGAGAAAGCACAAACCATGTATTCCCAATAGGTTTTGGAAGGACTTTGGCCTCTGCGGAGCGTCCTTGGGGAGCTCTTTGGCCACTTCGAGCCGTTGGGACGGTTTGGGAGCCTCTTGGAGCATTTTGGGTGCCATCTTGAGGCATCTTGCGCTACCTTGAGCCATCCTGGAGGTCGTCTTTGGCTCTCCGAGGCGCTCTTGGAGCCGTCTTGTGCCATGTTGGACGCACCGACCGCTCGCGAAACCCCCCGTCCAGGTCCAGGGGAGGGGGCTGGGGGAGGGGTCAAGCTACCCACCCGCCCGCAAGCCGTCTAGCTCACTCCCACCCGCCCTCCCAATACATACGTAACACCCGAGCCTGAGCATGTCCAGCGGTCGTCTTTAGAGGATGGACAGCTACTGGGAACCAAAGTCGACCCCAGGTGAGCGACGCTTGGGCGAGGTGCGCCACGCGTGCCAGGGGCGCCACGCGCGCCAGGCACCCGTGGGGCCCGAGTGTTCCAGGCACCCGGCGAAACATGTCTGCCCCCGCCATCCTTGTCGAAAACCGATGCCCATCGTTGTGTCTGGTGGGCCTGCGCACAGCAGGCCCCGCGCCACCACCCTCGAGGTCCCTGTCAAAAACCATAGGGCAGCGATCGAGGGATGGCCGCGCATGATCCAGATTTAGCCGCGAAGTGCATGCGGTATTGTTTGTTGTCAGGGGTGGTAGCCTTGCGCAGGACACGGAATATGCTGGCCCCCCCGCCGTCCTTGTCACAAACAATACAACATGTTCGCGGGCCTCTCAAGCATGACTCAAGATTTTGCCCCCAAGTGCCCTTTGCATCGTTTTGGGACAAGCGACTGCGGGGGGGGAGGGCGCAACGGGTTGGGCGCGCATGCTCCAAATGCGGAGGCAGAGTGCGGCTTGTTTTTTTTTGACAGGGATGGTGGGGGGCGTGTCGGCATGGTGTCGGGATGGTTCCTGGTTGGACGCCGGCCGGGTGGGGGAGGAGGTGCATATCAATACGGAGCTGTGATAACCCCTCCCCGAAGGGGAAGAAGGAGGGTGGAAGAGAAATTGCCCTAGACCACCTACTCCCAGAGGGCTGGTGGGATTCAGTTTCTCACTGTGGATGGCTGGCTCCCCAGGCCTCCCGCATTCGAGCAGAAAATCGAGGCATCGGATGTCTGGCGAGGGGTCGGAGATCGGCGGCGAACTTCGAGCTTCGAGGTGCGATCTTCGAGGTTCGAGGTTCGAGGTTCGAGGCCGTTTTTCCTCGCTTTCGGCCTCTGGGGGCCGTTTTTAGGGCCAGGGAACCCCGAAGCTCGATCCGGGATTGACAAGCCGCGTCGGGTGGGGTCCGGGAGGGGTCGGGGGACCGATTGAAAAGGCCTTACGGCCAGTGCCGCCGACCCTGAACGACGAGGACGACGACGACGAGGAGGAGGAGGACGACGACGACGACGATGACGACGACGACATCGATGGATCTTGGGCCCCTCTGATGGCCCTTGGGACCGATTTTGACCGATATTCGGCGGCCAGCCCAGGGTGGGAAGCAAAAAGGAGAAGGCTTTCTCAGAAGGCGGCGGGGCTTCTCAGACGCCCTCGCGCCTTCTGAGAGGTTCTGTGTCTTCTCGAAGACGAAAGCCACTTAAACATAATTTTATTGGCGCTCCGCGCGGATTCCTTGGATCCGCGCTTGGCCCCTGCGGCGGCGCCTCCGGCGCCGCCCCTGGCCTGGCGCGCGGAGCGCGCCAGGGAGGGGGGTCCAGCGCGCATCCAAGAAGTCAGCGCGGGGCGCCAAAATTTTATGCTTATAGCGCTGTTTCTTCGTCTGCCGAAGCCCTCGCGCCTTCTGAGAGGTTCTCTGCGTCTTCGAGGAAGGCTCAGAGGACGTGCCAGAAGGCTGGGGGACTCCGGAGCCTCCTGCGAAGACCCGCCCCTTCTCGCCTTCCCCCCCGCGGGCCTCGCCGCCGAGGAGAGCGTGCCGTATACCGCCGATGCCTCGCGGAGGCGGTGCGCATCGGGAGCCGGGTTCGGGGTTGGACAGACCTCCTAATTACCCGGACACGTCGATTGAGGAATTGGCCGTCGTCGGTTCGCGGGAGGGCGTCGCGGCCGTTATATCTTTGCGGGTCCAGGTCCGTCGGTTTCGCTCCGAGGCCGTTCTCATTGAGGGGAGGTTCACGAAAGAGGGAGGTTTGTCCACCGCCGACCGGCGCTCCTAAAAAAATCGGTCTCCGGAGCACGCCGGTGCGTCAGCAATTCATTGGCGATGCGGCACGGTTTTCCGTGCTCGTCCTGTCTGGCCCCATTCGTGAGAAAGCGAAAGCCCACCCCCACCCCCAGTCCCGACCCCATTTTCGAACCCGCGATCCAGGGGGTCGGGACTGGGGGTGGGGGTGGGGTTGCGGGGTCCAGGAAGGGAGAAACCCACCCCCAACCCCAAGTCCCGACCCCCTGGATCGCGGGCTCGGCGGTGGGCGTTGGGACTGGGGGTGGGGGTGGGCTTTCGCCTCCTCAATTCGGGCGGCCTCCAAGGAGGGAGAAGGAAGCCCGATGGAGGGCGGCTGGGCTGCCCGTCCCACGCATGCGCCAGGAGGAGGCGGACGCCTTCTTCCCGAGGCAAGCGCTGGAGGTTCGGGTCGGACGAAAGGGGAGGATTGGGAAAGGGGGGGTTACGAAATCTGCTGCATGCAGCTGGTTCCGGCTCCCCCGAGGGGCCCGTTCCTCGATACACAGCCGCCTCCGGTGCCGGGAGGCGCCGGGAAAACCAGCTACGCGAGCTGATTCTCACCCCCCCCCTTTGCTATCCCCCCCTTTCTCTCGACCCGAGAGGTGGAGTTCGTCATGACAACCAACAGTCCCAAGGCGGAGGTCACGATTGACCTCCCCCTCGGAGACGTCAGGTACGCGTTTCGCGTGGAGGCGATCACTTGTGTTGGCAAGGGGCCCCGCTCGGACAAGGTGGTCTACAAGGCCGACCTCGAGTACGACGAGAAGTCCGAGATGCCTCGGCAGCTCGCTCAATGGGTAGTCCAGAAGCGGCTGGCGGCAGAAATCCTGCCCGTCACTGGGATCAGGCTCTCAGGAGAGGCCCGGAAAGCAGAGTTGAAAGGTTCTCAGGTACTTTCTGAGTTTGAAAAGTTCAGGCAGATCGACGACGACCTGTCCCAGTTCGCAACCATCTGGCGTCTGCTGGTTGAAGGCGGGCTCAAGCTCAGCATCGGTGAGGAAGCGGAGCAGCAGGACGACAAGAAGGACAAGAGGAACATGCGCGGCGGCAGGTTTTGCAACAAGCAGACCGTCGGAAAGGATTGGAATATCAGCAAATGGAGTAAGCACAAGCTTTCGGACGTCTGCGCGTATTTCGTGGGTCGGCGCTGGACCCCCCAACACCCAGGGCGGCGCCTCTAGCGTCGCCCCCCAGCGCGCTCTGTGCGCCGGGGATCATGTGTGGGGAGGGATCAGCACAACGTGGGGTTAGGGAGCGAAGCCAGCTTGAGACTCATATTTTGTTTCGAGGGCCGCACAGGGCGCATTCCCTCTGAACCCACCTCTGGCCCTAAGTGGGGTCCGACACCGGCCCCAGGAACCCGCGCGGACCACCGAACGTCTGCGGCCGTCGCGTTTGGATCCGGTTCTCTCTCTCTCTCTCTCTTTTTTGTTTCTCCCTCTCTCTCTCTCTGCTCCATAGCACAGGCATCCCATGCCTTGAATGTTTTTTTTGGCACACAGGACCCATGGATTATAACGCGCATGGATTAGCGACGGATCCCTCCGTCCCCAAGTCAGACGGCAAAGGCTGCATTGCCCAAGGGGTGCCTTCCCGGCCTGTAGATTTAAAGCGGGCGTGCCCCTCTACAGGAAGAATATTCAAGGATAGTTAAACATTGTCAGTGGACGATGCTCGTTTTAGATGTGTATATATATATATATATAAAAATGTATGGTTACTTTGACTATAGTTGACTTGTCTTGCAATTGCGCGCCCGAGGAACACCACATACAATCTGTCTGGCGCGATGATAGCTGAAGTGAAGCATGCGAAAATGATGCTTGTCACTGTTGCCCCGCCGATGCATGTGGTGACCCCTGTCCAGCCTTGGAAACCCGCGCGCTTGCCACGGCTTGCGAGCGTGCGACGGATAGAGCTCCCACTCCGTCCGCACTCTTTGGTGCTGTGAAGAACCTGCCACGCCTGCTACGCTTGGCGAGCGTACGACGGATAGCGCCCCCACCCCCAGCGCACCCCCTTCAGTGTCGAGAACCTGCCACGCATTGCGAGCGCAGGACGGATAGCGACTGCCCCTCCCGGCGCACCCCCTGTGGCGTTGAGCAATTGCCACGCCTGCCACGCTTTGCGAGCGTGCGACGGACGACGACCGCACCCACAGCGCAGCCCCCTCTTGCGTCGAAGAACTGCCGCGCCTGCCGCTCTATGCGAGCGTGCGGCGGATAGCGACCGCACCCCCTCCGATGCCCCATTGTGTTGCCGATGAAGTGCACATCTGACACGGTTTGCGAGCGCACGACGGATAGCGACCGCACCCCCCTTTGTGTCGATCGAGTGCACGCATGCCACGCTTTGCGAACGTACGGCGGATAGCGACCGCACCTCCAGCGCACCCCTTCTGCGGCATCGAGAAACTGCAACGCCTGCCACGCTTTGTGAGCGTGCGACGGATAGCAACCGCCCCCGCCTTCGTACCCCTTGTGGCAACGACAAAATACCACGCGTGCCATGGTTAGCGAGCGCACGACGGATAGCGACCGCACCCCCTTGCGCAACACCTTGTGATTTCGATGGAGTGCACGTTTGCCATGCTTTGCCAGCGTACGACGGATCGCGACCGCATCCCCTGCTCACCTTCTTGTGCCATCGAGAAAGTGCCACGCTGTGAAATTTGTGTTGTGGTATGCGTGTACTGTGTATGTGTTGAGCGGTTATTGCGCGTGTGTGTATAATATATACATATATATATATATGTTTCGGAGGTTGGGGAGTGAGTCCGACATGAAACGGAGACCCCTCCTACCGGGAAATCGATTTCTGTGTCGGATTCGTGTCGTGCGTGCCGTGCGTGCGTGCGTGGGTGCGGGCGAGGCGAAGCTGCGTGGGCGGGCGAGGGGCAATCCTCCTGTGGTTGGGCCGCGGCCAGACCAAATGTTTCTCTTCCGGCGGCTGGTGTCCCGCGGTGTCCCGCCGGTGTCCCGAAATCTTCTTGTGGCTGGGCCGCGGCCGGACCAAATGTTTCTCCCCCGCCGGCCGGTGGCCCGCCGTGTCCCGCCGGTGTTCCGCTGGTGTCCCGAAATCATTTTGTGGCTGCGCTTCGTCAACATCGCCACATCACATCACGCTCACGATCACAATCGCACGACTCAGTAGACTGCGCATCACGGGCATCGTCAGAACAACAGTCACCACTGTTGCCCATTGCTGCCCCCCCAACCTCCTTATCACCCGCAGGGTGGTCGTATAGGTGTGTTTGTGTGTATAAATGTATATACACACACATATATATATATATATATGTATATATGTATATATATTTACATATACATATATATATATATATATATATATATATACGTAGCACCCCGCAATTGCGGATAAGAGTGAGTCGTCGTCGAGCCGGCGGACCTCGTGGCCCCCACCTTCCCTGTCGATGGCGGGTCCTCCTCCTCCTCCTCCTCCTCCTCCTCTTCCTCGTCCTCGTCCTCGTCGTCATCGTCATCCTCCTCCACCTCGTCCTCCTCTTCTTCCTCGTCCTCCCTCTCCCCCCCTCGTCCTTCCATCATCGTCCTCCCATTGTCGTCCAATCGTCATCCTCCTCCCCCTCCCCCCTCCTCCCCCTCCTCGTCCTCCTCCTCCCCCTCCTCCCCGTCCTCCCCTCCTCGTCCTCCTGCTCCTCCTCCTCCTTCTCCTCCTCCTCCTCCTTCTCCACATTATCCTTACATCCTCTCTTCTTTCGCGTCCTCCTCGTCCCCTGTTTACTCCTCCTGTTTCCCCCTCCTTTCCCAAGATCACGGCAACGCAAGTTGTTTCATTTTATGCTCCCCGATTTTTGTGACCAAGGCAATGCGCCAGGGCAAAGTTGCTGGACGGGCTGGTGTGGATGCGCGGGGCTTGAAGAGGTCGTTGCGGGCTCAGACGGCATGCAAAAATCCGCCGCCGCGTTTGTGCGGCATTGGTTTGTTCAGAAAACGTGGTTTGGGTCGCGGGTGGGTCGCGGGCTCTCCACCTCCACCTGGAAGGTCCGAAATCAACCCGCCGCAGGCGCTGAGAAATTTGGTTTGTACACTGAACGTGGAATGGGTCGCGGGTGGGCCGCGGGCCCTCCACCGGGAGCGAATGCAAACGATGCCCGCCGCAGGCGCCGAAACATTTGGTTTGTACCCTGATAGTGGTCGCGGGTGGGCCGCGAGCTCTCCACCTGAAACGAATGCAAAAGATGCCCGCCGCAGGCGCCGAAAAATGTGGTTTATGCCTTGAACGTGGTTTGGGTCGCGGGTTGGTCGCGAGTTGGTCGCGCGGTGGGTCGCGGGCCCTCTACCTGGAAGGAATGCAACAAAAAGACACCCGCAGGCGCCGAAAATGGTGGTTTGTACCTTGAACGTGGTTTGGGTCGAGCGTGGGTCGCGGGTGGGTCGCGGGGTGGGCCGCGGGTGGGTCGCGGGTGGGTCGCGGGTGGGTCGCGGGTGGGTCGCGTCGCGGGTGGGCCGCAGGCGGGTCGCGGGGTGGGTCGCGGGTGGGTCGCAGGTGGGTCGCGGGTGGGTCGCGGGGTGGGTCGTGGGGTGGGTCGCGGGGTGGGGCGCGGGTGGGTCGCGGGTGGTTGGCGGGTGGGTCGCGGGGTGGGTCGCGGGGTGGGTCGCGAGGTGGGTCGCGGGTGGGTCGCGGGTGGGTCGCGGGTGGGTCGCGGGGTGGTCGCGGGGTGGGTCGTTGGGTGGGTCGCGGCTGGGTCGCGGGGCGGGTTGCGGGTGGAACGACGAAACCAAACAACAACAACATTAACAACAACAACAACAACAACAACAACAACAGCACCAACAACAACAACAACAACAACAACAGCAACATCAACAGCAACAACAACAGCAACATCAACAGCAACAACAAGACCAACAACAACAAACAACAACAACAAACAACAACAAACAACAGCAACCACAACAACCACAACGATAATCCGCACCGCGGCATCTCATTTCAGCCACGCACCCAGGGACCGTGAACGGCCGTTCGGCCCCCCTCATTGTGATATATATATATATATGTGTGTATGCGCATATATGTATATATATATATATCCCCCGCATCTGCTGATAAAGAGTGAGGGGGCGGTGGGGACGTCGGCGGTCTGCGGGACTCTGGAGAAGCCCACCGGTGGCGCCAAAGTTTCGCAAAGTATGCAACGAGCCTGCCGAAGGCGCATATTTTCTTTTCTCAAATCAATGTGGGTCGTGGGTGGGTCGCGGATGGGTCGCAGGTGGGTCGCGGGGTGCTTCCCGAATGGATCGCAAATGTGTCGCGGGTGGGTCGGGGGTGTCGCGGATGGGTCGCGGGTAGGTCGCGGGGTTGGTCGCGGGTGGGTCTCGGATTGGGTCGCGGGTGGGTCTCGTGGTGGGTCGCGAGGTGGGTCGCGGGTGTGTCGCAGGGGGGGCGACGATAACAAACAGCAGCAAACAACAACAACACCAAAAACAAACACAAACACAAAAACACAACCAACAACAACAACAACAACAACAACAACAACAACAACACCAATAACAACAACAACAACAACAACAGCAACAGCAGCAACAACAACAACACCAGCACAACAACAGCATCATCATCATCATTTCCAACAACAACGCAACAATCATACTGTTCACCACGGGTCCTCACTTCAGCCACGCACCCAGGGACAATGACTGACCGCTCGGGCCCCCCATTGTGATACGTAAGTATTTCTTATCCTTTTATACGCAGCACCCCGCAATTGCGGATAAGAGTGAGCGGGCGGGCGCGGGCGACGCGGGCGTCGAGCCGGCGGACCTCGTGGCTCCCACCTTCTTTGTCGATGGCGCTCTCCTCTTCCTCGTCCTGCTTCTCCTCCTCCTCCTCTTCCTCGTCCGCGTCCTCGTCCTCATCGTCGTCGTCGTGCTCTGACAATTTTGCGCGGGGGGGTGTCGCTGGTGGGCCACAAGGAACGTAGCAAAAACAGCCCGCCGCAGGCGCCGAAATTTTGGCTTGCTCAATGAGTGTAGTTTGGGTCGCGGGTGGGTCGCGGGCTTTCCACCTCCACGTGGAAAGAATTCAAGATCAGCCTGCCGCAGGCG